CTATGAAAATGTTCAGTGGGACCTTCTTTGGTGGGGAGCACCCCTTGGCATTCTGAGCCTCTGCCCACTAAATGCCAACAGGGTCCCCCTCCTGTGACTAGAGCCGTGGCCCCTACATTTACAAGGTGCCCCTAGCCCCAGGGGTCGTACCTTTGCTGCTGGGACCCTCCAGAGCCTGAGGTTGCCCACAGTGGCTCACAGATCATCGCTGTGGGGCAGTTTCTCAGCCACAGCACAAGTGGCATCCTGTGCCCAGGGGCTGTCCTGTGCATTGTAGGATGTTTAGCAGCAACCGTGGCCTCTGCCCCTCGGAAGCAAAACTGGTCACTGTGTGGGTAGGAAGAGCAGCTTCAGTGTGGACTGGAGCTCGGACACCCTGGGAAGCCAGAGCCATGGGCTGGCAGCCTCAGAGGCAGGGCCTGGTGTGTGGGGGTGGGGGGCAGGAGGGCAGGGTGCTGGACTTACTCTGGGAACAGGGGAGCCCATTGGGCAGAGGGAGGGTTATTTACAAAGTGCCCTCAGGCTGCTGTGTGGAGTCTGGGCAGGAGAGCCCAGGAGGCTGAAAGGAGCATGGAGAGGGGAGGGCCAGGGAGGGGAGGGCCAGGGAGGGGAGGGCCAGAGAAGGGGGAGAAAATTGGGGCAGAGAGAGTCATGGCAGCCTGCAGCAGGCCTGAGGGTGCAGTCAGAGGGTGGCCCCTGGGTCCTGGGTGATCCTCTGGAAAGCAGCCCCACTGGGGCAGTAAAGGAGAAAGACACCGGCAGAGGAGAGACAGGAGGACAGGAGGCAGCCTGTCCACAGCTCTTCCTATTCCTCCAGGAGGGGAGAGGGTGGTGGCTGCGAGAAAATGCAGGGCCGGGAGCCTGTCTTGGGGAGATTTCTTCTGAGAATGAAAGGGACGCAGCCGTGTTTGTGAGCTGGGGAACACAGCAGCAGGGGAGGAGGGTGGAGCTAGAAGTGAAATTTCTCCCTCTCTGATCCACGGCCCAACCCATTCTACCTCCAGGAGGAGGGCCCTGCCACCCGGCCCACCTGTGGATGGTGCCCGGCAGCCGACCAGACGGAGGCCTGCCCAGGTGCAGGGCACCTCCTCCTCTGCCTTCCTGTGATGCCCTTGCAGGGAGGGAGGGAGCCACTATGGCTGCTGCTGGCACCACCCTGACCACCCACCGTGCATATCAGAGATTCCCCCCCACACAACTGACACAGGGCACACACATGCCCACGCTGGATGTGCATGTGTCATCACACGTGCACATAGAGGTGCCACAGGATTACACCTGCGTGCACACACAAGAGGGCTCACAGAGGTTTTACGTGTGCGCGTGCACACACCTCCACTGTGTACGTGTGTACCTGTGTGCACATACACAGGGAGCCCGCGCAGAGGCCACGCCTGTCTGAACGGGGGCCTCGGGATGCTGGTGCCGCAGTTGTTTTTGTCCCCAGCGAAACAAGCAGGTCACCACCTGAACCCCACTTTACGCGCTGCTCGCCCACTTTCCCTCGGCTCCGCTCCCGCGGGCGCCCTCCTTTCCACCTGGATCGCGGCATCTGGACCTGCCTCCGTTCATTCTACGTCCCAGCTCGGCTGGGAGCACGAGGGAGGTGCGAACGGAGGCTGCTGGGCCGCCACCCCCGGCGAGGCGCGCCCCCGCGGGCAGGTCCTGGGA